TGTCTTCATATTGTGCTGTTGTATTTTTCACTTCATTTATGCATTCTTCTACACACCTAAAAGAGATGGTTAAACTTGAGTTTCTAGAACACACTTCTTTGATTTGCAGTTTTCAAATCACTTAGTCATAGCACCAGGGACTGGAGAGAAAGCAGGGACAGGAACAGTGGGTAGGCAGCACATCAGAAAAAGAGGGATCAATAGAAAAGTAGATACTAAATGAAAGATTTTGCAAGATATATTGCCTAAATACTTGGAATAATCTAGTTAGAGGTAGTTCTTTTTTCTATACAGAGTAGCAGGTTTGATCTAAAGCTCCTAATAACCAGATGATAAATTCTAATTGATCATAACCAGGCATATAACTGCATGTTTTTTGGGACAACAGCTGAAACCTACTAATTATATCCCAAGCAATCAAGAAAAAGGGAAGTTATTTCACAATGTTTTGAATTTCATAATGCTCTTGGATTCAAAATAGCAGCCCTTTTTGATAAGTTAAACAAACAGTGAGTTTTCTTCCCAACGCTTAACCCTGAAGCACTGCACACACACAGCTGAGTTATCTAACCAGCTTTGACTGATTTCTGAAAATAACTTTGAGTAAAAAGAAAGCTGGGCCAGTTCCAGAGCAGCTCAAGATTGGGCGATTTGTGGGCAGATTTGGGAATGAAATAAACAGGAAAGCATACTAAGATTTTCCAGCTGAGCAGAATTTACACTCAAATGCACCAATCAAAGCTTTTAATCAATAACAGCAGCAATTACTCAACAGATTGACAGTGTGAAACCCCTGAGTGCCAATGGCAGCAACAGCTCAGGGTGGAGGATGTTTTCTCTCTGAGGATACACCTCTGTGCTGCTTGTCAGTCTGCAAGATGGACGCCTCTACAAACAGCTCAGAAAAAACCCCAAAACAACAAAATCAAACCCTATTGCATGTATTTTAATAGGTCAAAGCCTGGGCAACTGTCCTGGTTTGAGCCAGGATGAAGTCAATTTTCCTTTTTACTGATTTTTTTTTTTCCTTCAGTAAGCTTTCTTGTAACTAGCAACAGTGTGTTCTGCTAGGCTGATAAGACACTGGAATGCTTTCTAACTACTGAGGCTTCAAGGTTGCACCTGCACTCTGCCGGCTCAGACACTATGGGGAGAACTGTGACCCCCCCATAGGAGGCTGAGTTAGACAGACAGCAAAATTGGCCAAAGATATTCCATTCCATATATCTACGTAGCTCAGAGGAAGGTCAGAGATCACAGAAGACAACTTCCTTCCTTCTTTTTCTCCTCTTCTCTTCCGTCCATGGCTGGCGTCCGGGGAGGACTCTGTTCATCCATCACTGTCGACCCTTAGGCTCGAGATCTCCTGACCCCCATTACTCTCTGCTCTTTTCCAGCAGCAGCTCCGGGATTCCTCGGGACTCTTCCCAGTTCAGGGAAGTGCTGTGGGAGTTGCTGGGGGTGGGGGGAGGGGAGAGGCTTTTGCCCATACCTGAATATATCTGTATATAATTGTATATATTTTCTTGTATCATTCATTAGTGTTTTAATTAAAGCTGTGTAGTTTAGTTTTCAATCCAGCCAAGTCTCTCTCTTTTTCTCTCTCTCCTTCCCTACTTGGGTGGGGGGGGGGAGGGGATCAAGAGCATTTTGTTGGACCTGAGTCAAACGGTGACAGCAATACACACTGTTGATCAACTACACTTATCTGAAAAAAAACAACTCCTTGACAAAAGAAACCTTCCAAGACACTAAACCAAACAAACAGCTTGTTCCCAGGAGGTGATGACAAACCTGGCATCTGCCATAGCTTCACAACAGGACAGAAAACCCTCCTGTGAGATCAGTTTAGGTCACAGGCACTTAATGTGTGACAATGCACATCAACTGTAGCTCATCAAAAGAAGTAACAAACACTCTACCGAGAAGTCCAACGAATTGCTTCCTCTGCCTCACCCTGCAGTAAGTTTAACTTCTGAACGTGGTGCCTGCATTCCAGGCCAGACCCTTGGCCGTAAACCTGCAAAAACATCAATGAAAACATCCACAAAAACACGGCTTAGGGAGCAGCCAGAAAGAAACAGCACAAGGTGCGGCTGCACCCCAGGTAACACTGAGGTGCTAACGAAAGCTGGCGGGATATCCTGAGCAGGGCTAACTGCCACAGCGGGTCCCCGCTGTCCCTGCAGGGCTCTCCACCACCGCGCTGGGCTTCCCACGGCCCCCGCACAGCCCGGCCCGGCCCTCACCTTCTGCACCGCCTGCCGCTGGCCCCCGCAGCTGGCGCCTCACCTCCCGCCCCGCGCTGCCC